GATGGGCATTCAGGTTGTTTCCACATTGAGCTTCAATAAACAATCCAGTGCAGATGTCCTTATGGTAAAATGATTTTTTTCTTCTGGGTAGATGCCTAGTAGTGGGATTGCAGGGTCAAATGGGAGATCTAATTTGTGTTTTTTGAGGATTCTCGGTACTTGCTTCCAAAAAGGCTGTATTAGTTTGCAGTCCCACCAACAGTGTAAAGGTATTCCCCTCTCTCCACATCTTCACCCGCATCTGTAACTTTTGGACTTTGTGATGGGGTGGGCTGATCTTACTGGGGTTAGGTGATATCTCAGGGTGGTTTTGATTTGCATTTCCAAATTCTAGAATTGTTAGAGTAACTTTGTTATTTCAATCATAAGCACCTCAGGAGCAGAGAAGAGTCTAGCCTGTACCAATTGGTTGATATCTAGAAACTGGGACTCACAGCTCAAATTAGTGAGAAAGAGTGGGATCAGCTGTCTAAAATGATGACAGAAAAGGTAGAGTTGGACCCTTCATGAGGAGTATTATACAACAACATATGCTGCTGGATCCCCGAAAGGCCTAGGAGGCAGCTAAGCTGAAAAAGATAAAGGGTCCTTTTCAAAGGATGGAGCAGGAGTTGTGGGTGTCCTCAGTGTAGTCAGATTTCGTCCATGGTGCTTTGGTGGCCACCTAGGTAATGGATCATCAGAGTATGTGTGAATAATACATTCCAAAGTTGAGCACTTCTCTTTCAAGAGGTAACAAACAGGTAACTTCCAGAGCAAGGAAGTAATAACAGGATTTAAGCAAAATGTACTCAGACTGATCTGAGCAAGGGAAACCAGAACTGGGTGGAAGGAGTTAGTTCTTTACTAGTTCAGAGTCTGGTGAATTCAGATGAAATAATTAATTGTTTGATCTGCTTGGCTATTAAACAGCTGTGTTGTTAAGTTGAATTTCTCCCATTCAAGGTAAAGAATTTTTTAATACGGGCCTCTGAAATATAAGTTGAGTTTTATTAAGTTCTATTAAATAAGTAACAAAGCCCTTTTCATCAGTACTTAGGGACTTCTGGTGTTATGGAATGAAAAACAAGTGAACTCGATACATCTGTCAAACTTCCTTATCAAAGAAAATTATTTATTCCAGCAGTGAATTTATTCAACAATACGATGTGTAATGCCTTCTGGATGTCAAGAACCATTTTAAGAAGCTGCTAATACTTTAAGAGGAAGAGTCTGGTCAGAACTCTGACCCTAAAAATACAGGCTGTTCCCAACTTTCAGGCAGGCTGTGTTCCAAAAGTATTTGATTGTAAATGACTTATTTGGCACTAGAGTTTCATTTGTCCAGAGAGATGGCAATGCATGCAGAAGGACTGAGTCTAGGAGCTTTAAATAAAGGTGAGGTAGAGAAGAAAACAGATTCCTCAGCCCTACAGATGGGCTGAGAGTTCTGGGAGTGCCCTGAGGTGCCAGGATAGGCCACTAATGGGAAGAGGGCAATGTTTTTTGAGTAAGACATACATGATATCTGGTTTTCTCCCTACTACTTTCTAGCTGTTGGTCTTTGGCAAATAGTAGAAATTGCATGAGCCTGCACTGTAGAATCGATGCCACCCACCTAAGGCACTTTAGTTCAGTGTGCCCCAACTCCCTATGTCCTGGACTTCCTCCTTTTAGACCTGACTCTTCCCCATTCAGTCAGTTATCAAGTCCTATAGTTTTACAAAACTGTCTGGACTATTTCCATTCAGCTCCTCACCTCCACCCCTGTAGTGCCACCCTAAACTGCCACATGAGCTTCTCTGCCACAAAATGCAGACATTCTCCACTCTCTCCTTCCTCAACATTCTTGACATACGCCCAAGGGATGTCCAGGCACCCGATACTGTTCCCCTCTAATCTGCTTCTTGACTGGAAAAGGGCTCTTGAGAGCTTTTAAAAATGCAAGTCTAGGTGGGGTGGCTTGCACCTGTAGTTTAGGTCTCGGATTTCCATGTAGGCTCACAGACTGGCCAAGTAGGGGGAAGGTGAAAGTAAGAGGGCAGAGGGGTTTTTGTTTGGTTTTGTTTTTGAGAGGGAGTCTCACTGTTGCCCAAGGCCATAGTGCCATGGTGTCATCATAGCTCACTGCAACCTCAGTCTCTTGGGCTCAAGGGATCCTCCTGCCTCAGCCTCCCAAGTAGCTGGGGCTCTAACACCCTGCTAGTTTTCTATTTTTAGTAGAGATAAGTCTCCCTTTGCTTAGGCTGGTCTCTAACTACTGAGCTCAGGCAATCCACCCACCTCAGTTTCCCAGAGAGCTAGGATTACAGGCGTGAGCCACCGTCCTCGGCCAAGAGTCATGTTTTGGACGACCTAGTTTAGATTAGATTTGGGGGCTCTGTCCCTCCTCCTTTTTTTTGGTCAAATTGCTCAGCATCTTTGAGCCCATTTCCTCATTTGTAAAACGTGGGGGAAATAATATTGACTACCTGAGAGAGTTACTGTGAGAGTTAAATGAAATTATATATACACACATACATTCCTCTGTGCAGATATCAAAGGGTAAGTGCCTTGACTGGTGCATGGCAAGTGAGTCTTCTATCAACTGGGATACACATATAAAGGGTACTCACTAAATATGTATAGGTTTCTTATTATTTTGTTTTGCTTCTTTTTTTGAGGCAGTCTCACTCTGTCATCCTGGGTTGAATGCCATGGCATTACCATATAGCTCAAAGCAACCTCAAACTCTTAGGCTCAAGTGATCCTCCTGCCTCGGCTTCCCAAGTAGCTGGGACTGTAGGCACCTGACGTGATGCTTGGCTAGTTTTTCTAGTTATAGTAGGGACAGGATCCCACTCTTGCTCAGGCTGGTCTCCAACTCCTGACCTCAAGCAATGCACTGGCCTCAGCCTCCCAGAGTGCTAAGATTACCGGTGTGAACCACCATGCCTGGCTTCATTTTGCTTTTTAAACAAGATATTCCTAAAACTGTTTTCCTTGTCCGTCCACTTTATTTTGTTCTTCATTTTTCGTTAGCTTGGTGAGATCAGAGCCTCAGGAGTACAAAGTGTTAATACTGCATTGGCATCCCCCATTCGCTCGTATTTTCCTGATCTCTGTATCCTATTGTTACGATGAAAAAACATAAAAAGTAGAATTCAAGTAGGCATAAAAAATATTATATTCCTCGAACATGTTCTCCAGCCAACCAGCTGGGCACCCCTTCCCTCTGTAACTGTTGTGGACTCTGCCTCTGCCCAGAGCTCTCCAGTCCTTTGCTATCTCCAAGCCCCTTCCTTAGAGGACACCTGCTCGGGAGTCCAGAGTGGTGAGATATGAGATGAACCCCATTCAGCACAGACAGGACTGTAGCATGCAAGCAAATTAAAGCATTCTCAGCTTTTTATTTCACTCTGCAGAAACCCAAACAACAACAAAAAAGCCCCTGCAGGGTAGGGACTTCTTTTTAGAAGGAGTCACCAAATACATTTGAAAGCCACAACTACAAGTTAAGTGCAGCACCAGATATGTGACTTTTTTTTTAAGGTCTTTAGTGGGGAGGATGAGAAAACAAGGAGCTTCCCACTTTCCTGGGCTGTAATATTTGTGCAAACATCCTGTCTAAAAAATCAATAAACATTGTACCTTGCCACTGAATCTTGTGAGGGCGTGCTTATTACCTGGTGGATGTCAGGCTGTGGAAGAGTTATTGTCATTTCAATTTCCAGATGAGTCACTGGGTGTCTTGCCCCCAGAGGCACTTCATTATGATTCAGTGCAAAGTACTGAAAGGGCTGGGGCTTCCGGAGGGAGCCGGGTGGGGGTTGCCCGGCTCCTGGGTTGGCATGAGGCTTAATTGACACCTTTGATGTAGCCTAAGACAGAGCCGCACCTCCCACTGCTGCTTGGGGGACGTCAGCCTTACGCAGAAAAGGCATCTGCTGATGAATCCGGCATCTCATTCAGCCAGCTCTGAGAGCAGCCTCAGCCATCCCTAACTAATCCAACCGTTCCCCAGTTCTGCTGGCACTTGGCTTAGTCTGAGAAGAGATTTCACCTCTTGGCTACTGCCAGGTCTAACACTCAGACTGTGTCCATGTTAGAACTCATAGAAGGTAAGTGGACTGCATCACCCCTGTCCCTCGGGGGAGTGTGTTAGGCACCCCCAGGAATGTGTGTTGTCTCCAGGCTGGTTCTACCTCAGTGACTGTGAAACTGTCATATTGTCATTTTTACAGGTAAAATAAAGGCACCATGTGTATCTTTGGAGAATCATGTCTTTAAGTGTTTTACCTGCTCTTGGTGGTGGTTGTTACTCAGAGAAAAGAATTGCTTACTTGAGTTCTGAGGCTTAAATTGAGTTTGCCGAGAACGGTGTCTCAAACTCTTGAGAATCGAGTCGAATCCCCGTGATGTGATCATGTTAGAAGGCAGTTTTTCTTTTCAGTGGCAGCAGAGACAAACTGAGTTGTTCCTCAGCGTCTGTGGCGAATTACTGTGTCCTACTCAGGGCAGATCCATCAGCATGAGGCTAGGGGGATGCACGGGGCAAGAAGTGGGTGCGGGGATGTTTTCTGTAAGCGAGTTATTAATATAGAAATACAGTGATCTGTTTATCAGGGTGCTGGGGATGCCCCTGGTAAGCCGTGCTGGGATCTACTCATTCTGAGTAGTTCTGGGCAGCTAAACCAGAGAATTAAGGATGAGCCCATTGAAAAGATCTCAGCACCTTACCCACATTCCTGAAATCCCTGTTAGCACAGTTAAAGGTATCGTTAATAAGTTGATTGGGAAAGTTGTAAAGAGTACCATTTTAAAAATCCTTCTGTGACCTGCTGCAGTGTTAAACACAGTGTTAACAGAACACTGAGTTTCCGAGGAAGGCTGCTCCCCAGGGCTCTTCTCACACAGAAGAAAGAGTGTGAACAGTTTCAGCAGATACCCCTCTGTAATTGTGATTTCTCAGAGAAGATAATTTGTCATGAAAATTCTTTAACATGCCATGTTTCTCTCTGTGTGATTCTTTGTGTTTCTAGTTAATGGAACCCCTGGTAGTCAGCTCTCTACTCCGCGCTCGGGCAAGTCGCCAAGCCCATCACCCACCAGCCCAGGAAGCCTGCGGAAGCAGAGGGTAAGAGAATAAGCAAGCTGCTGGTTTCAAACCTGTCTGCACCTCAGTGGTACTGGACCCAGCAAACAGAGATGCTTGTCTCTAGGTGATAACCAAGCCAGGGGCAGGAGGCGATCAAAGCTGGGTCGCTTGTTACTGCCATGGTTTAGCTTGAACTCAGGGCTTTTAATTTCTTTGTCAACTTGTCCAGATCTTAACTCTGAGAAGAATTTAAGTTTGCTGCTTCACTTTTAGATATCCTCCTCTTTTTGTTCTGAATGCACAGACTTTATGAGCACTGGTTTTTAAGCTTTCAGAGTTGTAATGAGTTTCATGAGATATTGATTATCAGACCCAACAAGAAAGAAGTGCAGGTAATGGCAGGGAGGGTCCTGGTGGGAGTTGCTCACGGCAGAGAGTTATTCTGTGGAGCAGTGTACAATCCACGGGGCAGGGGATAGGGACACAGGGCCTACGTTTTGGTGAATGAAACTCACATAGGCACCTTCTCTTTCATCACTGCTGGCATTTATTTTTAGCCTCTTGTGTAATAATGGAGAAATTGGCTGAGCTTAGAGACCATAGTGAAAAAGTTACTGGAAACAATGTTAGCTTCTCTCCACACTAAGCAAAGGGGGTGAAGAGTAGTGCTTCTTTCAGGATGGAAGAACTAGTGTTCTTATCCTTTTACCACCTGTACTATTTGACTTTCCCAGTAATACGGAGGCAAGAATAGAGGAGGGGAAGAGGAGAAGGGAGGAAGAGCAGTGGAAGAAATTGAAGGCCCATCCTGCTGGTTTCAGACGTGGGGGTGGTGGGGTGTGGGGGACACAACAACGTGTGTGCTCTGTGAAGGTTTCATGAAAGTGCCCACTGGATATCTTAATAACAAAGGGCATTTTGCAGGCTACTACACTCAAATACTGGACTCTTGCATTTTGTTTCTTTTATTATGTGTTTCTGAGTTCCATAAATCTAAACTTCGTCCAAGATGGAAGGCCCCTTCTTCAAGATTCCCACCCGTGGTGTATCTTTAGGCTGCCAGAACCATCAATGATCTAAAGTTGTGGGGTGGGGAGAGTCAGGCTGTCCCCAGTTCCTTCCGAGCCTTTTGCACCAAGTGTCAGATTTTGTTCCCTTTCCTGGCTGATTCACTGGGCACCAGGTTGAGCTCCTGTAGTTTGTTTGATAAAGCCTGGAATTTGGCACCAGCTTGTCCACTAAATGGCTGTGTTATCTAGGATGAGTCTATTATCTTTTCTGGGCCTCAGTTGGAAAACCAATAACCTCTTTCTAGATAGAAAACCCAATAATTCTGGTTCTATTTGAGTGTTTTCACTATGGCTTCTTCTTAGCCATGTCTAATCTGGCATTTGAATGTATAGGAATCATTAGTGAACTACGCAAAGATGAATTGGCCAAATTCATCTAATCTCCTAAAGGCCTGTCCTTGACTGGGGAAGAGCTGGTGTGGTCATTCTTTTCTTGTAAATGGTACCCAGCAAGACTCCGGTCTGCAGGGACAGCCACGAGATGTGGCACAGGAAAGGCCCTCTTTCAGTGAACATTCTCTCCCTGGAATTGTATATCTTGGGGAATACACCTAACATAGAAATCCCTCTTTCTTCTCTGAGCTGATTAAACTCAGATTAAGGATTTATTGGTGTAGTTTATACTTAGTTGTTGAGATTAAATTGAGATGAACTGAGGATCCCTGTTAGGGATGGGCGTGTGTCTCTCATCTTATTTGTTGTGGAGACCCGCTTCTTGGGGATGTAAAGCTTCATTCAGACATCCCTTTGTTGGTGCAATGAGGCTAGGATTTTCTTCTTCTGCTCTATTTATTCTCTGCTTCACTATGACTTTGTCCAATCAAGGCGAAAAATTTCCATCCAGCTCTGTGGCCATTGGCTTATAATAATTAACATTTCCAGCACTTGGGAAATGATTATAAGTTATGTCCCTCTTATAGAGTCTTCATTTTGTCAGTCAGACTACCATTGTAAACGCCACACTTGAGAGAAAAGGCCATCCACAGGGTTTATCACCATCTGAAAGCATTTATTAAGCACATATTGTGAGCAGGGCACCAGATATATTCAAAGACGGTTCAATTTCCAAGCTTTTGAATTTAAGTCGTAAATGAACATTCCCCCCATCCACGTACCATGTCAGGGCATGGAGACGTTCCCAGCTGCTTTAGCAAGAGGAGCTTTCATCTTGGTGTGTAGGCAACTGCATCAAATAATCCCTCCCAGTTAAAATGGGCTTAGAATATCCCTAAAAACTGATCCTGTTTCAAATTTGGTTGATGTTCTTCTCAAATGGTTGGCTATACTCCTATGCAGGAAATACTGAAATAAGTGAAAGATGGCATGTGCTAAAAGAAGACACTTCAAAGAATAAATTAACTCTTTTTACTGCAAATTGGAAAACAGTAGCTACTTCTATTTTTTCCCTCTCTGTTGCCTAGCAACATGGCAGAGAGAGAGAGAGAGACATAGAGGGAGAGAGAGGGAGAGAAATGAGCTGACTGCTCCACTCCACTGGAACACACACACACTCTCCCTGCCCCATTTTAAAACATGAGAACATAAGCTGTTTTCTTCAAAGGAATATTGAGACATTTGACTAGGTTTTTTTACAAATAAGAAAATCTCTGCTTTTATTTGTATTAGTTATGATTTAATCAGCTCTTTTTCTTCTGTTAAATATCGTATTTTTAATGTTACCTCTTTTGACATTTTAGAACAGTCTTATACAATCAGAATCTGCATGCCAGATATTTTCCTTCATAAACATGTTCATGGCAATGTACCAAGTAACCTATTTTCCTAAAGCACAGTTATTTAAGTTGCTGTCTGGAAGTGTTTGGTCACAGAAGCAGATCTTGAAGGCTCTTTTCCTAGCCATGAAATTTTTTTGGTCCGATTCCTTAACCCATCAGGAAGACATGTGTTGTGTTGTGTAGGTTGAATGAAGCACTCCATTATACTCCCACATCCTTGACTTTTGTAGATTATCTGATCAGTCAGATGATGTGAGGAGTGGGTGGTACAAAATAGGAAAAAAGCCAACTCTAGACACTCTCTGCGGAGCTGAGCTGGTTGCCTGGCTACCCACAGAGAGACCTAGTAGCAGGAAGGGGCTGGAGGGTGGGAGAGAGGAGGTGATGAGTGAGGGAGTGGAGGGCAGGGAAAGAGCATTGAGAAAGCATGGGATGGGTGAATGTTGCACTCTTTCTGTTGTCTAAACATAAAATTTTGAAAAAACAATGCTTGTTGGGTTTATGTTCCATGCAAATGCAACACTTACTTGAGTTGCTGCTCTGGGACCAGAATTTGCTGCATGCCAGCTGGGGCTCCTGATAAATTATTTTGTGGGGTATAAGCAGTTCCACTTCTAACCCAGAATGGGAAGGAAACATTCAAGGAAAAATTGCCAAGATTCATGATAGCAGAGCTGACCTAGACAGACCTCAGAGGCCATAAAAGTCAACGGGGGACAAAGGAAGGCAAAAGCCCATGAGTAGATCAGGCAGTGTTTTCTTGCCAATAAGGGGAAGTAACATCTATTTATATGGTCTCTCTGTTTTTCCTTTTACTCAAAGTTGGTGACTTTAAGAGGTCTAATGATGTTAGAAACCAAGGATGCCCATTTATTTGTTGCTCTTAAGAGAGCAACAGGGCACCCAAGAAAGCCAAGTAAACAAATGCATACTGCCCTTCATCTTTCAGGACCTGTACCGCCCCCTCTCTTCGGATGATTTGGACTCAGTAGGAGACTCAGTGTAAAAGAGACAATGGAGCAATGTATATGGTTTGTGACTGGGTGAAGGTTTCACATTTCCTAAGCAAATTCTAACAGCAAAATACACAAAAGAGTTTTGCATACCTTGACATGATAAAGACCAAATCATATAAAACTAAATTTGTAGGCTTTTATATTCATGATGTTTGCCCTTGAAGGAGAGATTTTTTTTTTGCAGTTTTTGGATGGGGCTGGGTTTGAACCCACCACCTCTGGCATGTGGAGCCAGCACCCTACTCCTTTGAGCCACAGGCACCGCCCCAGGAGAGATTTTGTTTTTAATGTCTCCTACCTTGATTGAATTGGGGAGAGTTTGAATGCAAAATCACTCAATTGCTGGGATTTTCGTAAGAGGCTGACTCTAGAAGAATTTTATATGTGGACCTCAAATGGAGTATGAGTACATGCTAATGACGAAGCAGTAGTCTAGAGTCAAAATTTCTATAGATGAGATTTTCTTTTTAATCATAAGTTGGACATAAGGATACATTTTTTTCTGTACTTTCTGTAAAGCACATTAAAATGACACTAGGTATATTTTTTCTTAGAGTTATGGTCTTTTAAAATTTGGATTGCTGGTTTTTCAGTTGTACTCTTATTGAAAAATAATAAAAATATTCAGTTAGATTTTTTTGCTTCCTGAACAGTAGAGGAAGTTAGTTGTCATTTTGAGTTGGTGTATTTTAGGGGAAGAAACTCACAACAAGTACACATCTCATGAAGACGCAAAAATTAAGCATTAGAAGCTTTCCTTTATTTTTGTTGTCAAGTAGATTTTATATTTTAAAGTTACCTTTTATTGGAAGTAGCATAAATATAGCTTAAGCTATATGCCAGCATGAAGAACTTGTCCAATGGTCTTGGTATCATCTTCTTCATGTCCAATTATGGTCCAATTACAGTCATTTATGTCATTTTTTAAATGTGTAAGAGCCGAAGCTGAGATTTTTTTTTTTTCCCACATGCAGATCTAAAAAAAGTTTGGTCGTTTTCCAAAAAATCAATTTGAAAAGGAAAATTATCTTAAATGGTGCTGTATAATCAGGCCCAGAATATCCAAATCTCCATTCTGATAGATCCTGGAGCTTGCCTGGTGTTTTGGAAATTTCCATATGCAAAACTCCTTTTGTGTTAAACCAAGTCAGTCTATGAATTGTAACCCATTGTTAAAAATTAACCTACTAATTCTGCTCTCCTAGTCCTCTACTTTT